TCGCGCGCGTTATTGTCAGCGCACTCTGTGCGACAGATAGGTCGGGTCTGATAGCACCCGCCGTATACAGATAGTTCTAGGTCTTGTGTAGTAGACTATGTAGGACCTCTGTAATTTGCTGAGGGTGGGTTGAGGCCGAAGGCGGACGCGCGGGCCGAAAACGCGGTCACGTGGCCTGATGAAGACGCGTCCGCAAACCACGCCCGGGACTAGCGGGGGGGCCGGACTGGCACGCGCGCACGACCAGGACATCGAGCTGCTTCACGCGGGAGATGCACTCGTACGGGTACAATCTTGAGGAGAGGCCGAATCCCAGAGAGCACCACCAGCGCGAAGCGCTATTGTTTCTGCCTGAGCAGTAAGGAAGGAGGGCGGGACGCCACACGAGGTGGGCGCTGAGAAAGAAAGCTCAGTGATTTCCGCTGCCTCGTGCTCGCAGTGTAGTTGCGAGCGCGCGTTCTTCACTATATGGTCTAACCGATCTGGGCCCGGCCGCCTTTCGCCGGACCCTTCTACTCCCTTCAGCTTGCCTCTGCACAAGCAGTGCTGGTCCCTCGCACGGCGAGCACTACCAGATGAAGAAGACGGACGCCGGTCTGGATCAAAGGGCCGGAATCATGGCGGGGTTCGTGGACCTAGACTATCACTGAGGTTCTGCGCTTCGAGACTTGGCCTGGATTGAGGGGAACGCCTAGTTTAATATCGCAAGATGCGATCTCAGCGCTCAGCGTTCACATGATCACTTGCACCCGAGCAGACATCATTAACAGGAAGGAGTGTATAGATCATAGTCTGTGTATGTAAACCGGGAACTTGAGGGCAAACCCGAACGTGGCAGATACATGACGAAGCCAAGTAACACTACGCAATGGCCTTCCCAGGCTGACCTACGGTCAATTCGATAGGCGTATCCTCTACATCGCAATCCAGAAGTCGAAGTATGCGGGACCGCCGAACACTTCCGTGTTGGTAAAAGTAGCTGTTACTCATTCGGATGGAGTTGATGAGGTCGAAGAACTCTCCTTCAGAAAGGGACGCTTCTTGAATGTCTATGCGTTGGAGATGGGGGTTTGTAATGCCACTGCTTCCGAGTGTAAGAGCATCGCCGAGGCCGCAGACGTTATGGTGTGCTTCTAGGTGTTCGAGTGACTGGAGCAGGCGTAGAATCCGCGACCAGGGCCGGCCCTGCGGCTCTGGGCTCTCGGGATCAATGATATCATAGAAGGTTGGGTGCACCAAGCGAAGATGAGACAGGGCACGATGAGTAACTGTCCAGTGGTCGAGTATGTGCTCGGCGATAACCAGTAGAATTGGGGATGCCTGACCGTCACTATCATGTGCGGGTAGGAAGCCAAGATGAAAACACGTAGGAGCCGTTATAGCTGTTGGCTTCGTCCAGATGAAGGTCATACCTTCGGACATATAGCCCTCAAAACCATCAATGGTCAATGACTGGTAACCCTCACGTTCGTCGCTGATGGGGAATGCAGCTCGTAGGGATTTCCCGAAGGCCGAATCGAGGGCGGGGAGGAGCTGATCCATGTCTTCAGATCCGCTTGTCTCGATGTATGCATCTACCGTCACATTGCACGAGTTGGGGGATGCGATATGGGTGAGGAGGTACGTTATGCACTCCACGCATGTGCGAACGTATATAGTCCGAAGACGTGCCAGAAGTATGAGTTTAGGCCTGGACTCAGTCGACGCATGGAGCGGAGGGATAAGAAACGTGTATGCTTGTGTCGGGATAAACTGCGTCCACTCGAAGTTCTCCAGATTGGGCAAATTGGATAGCGTGCACAGTAATTCGTCCATAGAAGCCCAAATAATGCATTCGCACACGTGCAACGAGGTCAAAGGTGCCATGAGCGCTGGGCAGCCAAGAGGGGCGGTGATGCCTGCCAACGCAAGGTCCTTCAGTCGGGTCGGCACTTCCCCTGCGAGTGAACTCGCGTCTAACGCGTCGATGTAGCGGACGTCAAGTGTCTCCAATCTGCGCAAAGCTGACCGAAGCGCTTGTCGAACTAAAGGCGTGTATACGGGCTCGCATTCGATGGCAATACTCCGCGCTCGGTGTATCTCCGCGATGACCAGGGCTACTGACGCGTCCCAATCCGTCATGCGTTTATCCCGGTATTGGCCATAGCTGATGTCGCATAGGTGGATGTTAAGAGAGCATTCCTTCGACCACGATAGTGCACGACGTGTCCATTCGAAGCCATGGCGCCCCACAATATCGGGCCATAGACTGGATGTATCCTCGGCCACTGCGCGCCAGCGTCGACAGATTGAGCGCAGGAGAAGAGCAGGTGGCGTGCGCTCGCGATGCGGAGAAGGTTTCTGTCCTCCTGGTTGTAAGACGCAGCAGAATATGTGGGCAAGTGCTTCAACTGGTATGCGATGTATTGGAGCAATGACATGCATCTGTAGCCAGCGGGTCAATTTTTCTCGCTAAAACGTGGCAGCAATGGGACTCACCTTGCGACAGGATATATCTCGACACTTGCCTGGCCGTTAGTGCGGCCGTTGACACAGTAAAGTTCAGGGCGAACGCAAGTAAGGTCTTCGATGTCAGTCGTAAGTCACTTGGCCAAGCAAGTCAAGACATTGAACTACGCCGAACGGGTTCGGTCAAATCGGGCCGGCACACCCATTTCCCCCGGGTTCCATACTTATGAACTTCGTTTTGCACAATCTCTCCGTTGATGCAGCAAGGGCTTCGCTCAACCCGCCCAATCGCAAGCAAATAGAAGAAAGGTAGGTCGTATCAACTACTCGTACAATGAGGTGGAGTAAACCAAGTATTGTGTTGGGAGGATACATATGTGTACGCAAGTAGCGGTTGTGTGACCCTAGGCGTAAGAGTCGCACGTAGAGAAGTGGTAGAGTAACGGGTGCATACTCGCCGTAAACAGTAGTACAGTCAGATAAGGAAACACGAGAATCGAGAGGATGCTGAAACCCCTGATCGTCGATTATATCTGAGGACCAGTCGCCACCCAGCGCAAGCTGCGAGAAGAAAGCGCAGCATTCGACGAGCTTCTCGCATGTCTAACTTCGGCGACAAAGCTATCGTCAACCCGATGGGGAATTGCACCTGCGCTTGTGCAGTCCAAATGCGCATCCAGGATGGTATCAAGAACAGCAATCTGATGAAGATGAAGACGAGTGCGGGCCGTAACACTCTGCGAGCATTTTGAGGACAATGTGCCTGGCCACTAGAGATGAGCGCGGTCTTCGCGTAATCATGATATCGCTCTGGTGAGACAGCCCGTGATGTATCCATGAACATACGCGGCCTCGAGGACTGCCTCGCGCGGCCTGGGTAGCCCCAAGGATGCCTCGCTGTAGAATGTATCAGTAAGACTTGGAATAGGACTCAAGAATGAGCACGTACTAAATGACATGAACTACGAGTGAATGGAAGTTAAGCACAACCAGATTGAGTGCTTGAAGGAGCCGGGTGTAAGCGTCCGTACCATTTGCAACAAGCAGCGCGGCGACGTGAAAGGGTAGTCCCTCAGACATGTAGGTGAGTTGGCTCGCAATGCTGCACGCGCAGCCCTCAACGAAGGCGCCCTTGACACCGGTTGTGAGCGCCGAGTCGTTCGAGCAGTTGAAAAGGGCCTTGAACAGGAGCTCAAAGCCCATCGAGCAGATGCCGCGGATGTTCAAGATCGTCTGAAGGATTGTTAGCAGAGCAAGCGCATGTGCGTGAGAAGAGAACGTACGCCATAGTAACCCTTGGCAAGCTTCTCTCTCTCGCGCTCGATGCACGTTCGACTGGTGTCCGCCCGCAGGGGCAGGTGTTATTGCGCATCTTGACATCTCTGAATATAGCGGCCGCTTTGAGCGCTCAAAGTAAGGACCTAAAGAGACTCTAGTCCCCGACACCTCCTTCGGCAGCTTGCAGTACACAACAGAAAACTCCAAGAAAGACGAGTTATCTCCTGAGGACGATCGGGTATACCCGCCTTCAAGAGCATTAACGAGTGGAATTCTACATGACACCTGCCCGACACTCACCTCTTGAAGTAGAATCATCGCCATATCATCGCAGCACGTGCAGTGCTCCTGTTCAGACTCGATAGCTCGTAAGCTCGATAGCTGAATAGTGGCCCATGTTGGCAGCAAGCCCGACCGACTCAAAAGCTCTTCTCATCGGCGGCGCCATCGGAAGGAGCAAGAGATGTAGAATAGGAGCCACGCGAGAAGATAGGCGAAATCGGCGAGAATCAGAGCGAGAGGTCGTGCGTGTTCTCAGACGAGCGGGCCGTAACGGGTGAGAGAAGGTTCGAGGCGATGCTGGTGCTGTGAAGAGGGTATGGCTCGAAGTCATCAGATGCAACAAAGAATTCAGTCAGTCTGAAGAGCCTGGTACGGTCGGTGGTGTAGGCACGGGATGGCATATTGAGGCGGGTGATCGAGTAGACAGAACATCCGGTTGCCGGCCATAGAAGACATGGCGTGCTCCGCCTGACGACAGCTCTTCTACTGCGTCTAATGATGCGCCATGCATTGTCGCAGCCTCAGTCGACTATGAGTCGGCGGTGACGCCCACCATCTGCACACGTTGCGCCTCCGCCATTATGCGAATTAGTCCCTTCCTGCCTATCTGCGATTTGTTTGAGCTCAAGGTGACGGCCCTGCTCGGCGACGTCACGAAGTTGATCGTGTTCATCTGCGAGAGATCGTGCGTAATGATGGTGGTAGTCTTGTCCCGCGCCAGCGCCTGATAGCATCGAAGAGGAGAATACGAAAGGCCGCGCCCATGACATAGCGCGGACGTCACCTCGTCGGCGAACGAGGATCAGCGCCATGTTAGAGGACTTGAGTAAAGTTAACATACCGAATTGAGGGTAATCGCGCAATTATGCGTGAGAGATGGCTAGAGGCCGCCAGACAGATTCGACGGGTGACGTAGTAGCCTTGGGGAACATGAGTGCAACACCTCGCACGCCGCATCCTCCGGGCTGCGCTTGTTGTCGTGATCTCCAAGACCGCTTGCAGCATTCTCGTGAAAAGTTCCATTTGATAGAATGGCGCTCTGGCTGACAGCGCCGACGTGCGAACGCGTCCACATCCTGATCGCCGATGGTTCCAGAGATAAACATATATATGCGGAGCAAGAGTTGTGCATACCAGGTAAGGGCGCCCTCGTCTAAGCTACAGGTCTAGCGGAGGTGCGTCGATGAAGATAGGGGTTGTGCCGGCATATTCGGCCAATTCGCAGCGAGAGAGGCGGATCCAGGATGCTCGTGATGGAGCAAGACGCCAAGACGCGTACAAGATCGAAGAGCGCGTCGATGGCCATGAGGCACCTGTACCAGGGGCGTGAGAATGTCCGTCGTAAAGGCGAGCAGTACAATCTTGAGTGCAGGAGGCAAATAACGGGCGGTCATTATGCTTAGAACAGGTGAAAGCGAACGATGGCCGAGAAGTCGCATCGGAATTTGATACAATTTACATATTAATGCAGTGGTATAGCTCAACGGTCTCGGGGACGAGGAAGTTTTGTTTTTGGTTCCAGCGGGTCGAGGGTTCAATCCAACCGCAGCGCAATCGACTTATATCTGATCCCTTGGTCTTCCCTTCAATCACATTTATTCGAATTTCGGAAATTCGACAGAAGATACATGCGAGATTGGGATATGACCCATGAGTGATGCTAGCTAAGGTAAGTACCAGAGGGTCGGGAGTGATGCGATGAAGTACTGGAGACGTCACTACGGAGCAACTACGGAGGAGATGGACAGATCTCAGGAAGTAGCCCGCGATGTACGTGCGGCGATGCCCGTGGGGCTGGTGACCTAGACGGTGGGGAAAGCAGCGCCTGTAGTACTATATAGGCCGCTTATTGTGTGTATGTCGATTGGTGAGCATATGGGGCCCCGTTGTGCATACGCGGCTTGGTGTATGTATATATGCGGCCTGTCGTGCATACAGCGCCCACATTCGAGCTGCCTGATACTCATAATATACAGCTTGGGCGTAGTACGTCACATGTGCGGGTATGCGTGAAGCGAGTATGATTAACGTGCAAAAGATCGTTACCCGTGCCCTGAATGTTGCTACGATAGCGACGCGTAGATGGATATGGGCATTGATGACAGTGGCCGGGTGTCGAGAGGAAGATAGCGAGCAGGATGAGCTCTTCGCGTAGTTCTCGAGGAGGATTGGGAGGCGTAGAGCTCAGCCTTAACATTCGGGGCTCATGAGGCCGAGACGAAGACACCATCACGGTGCTGAGGCAGGTGTGAGCATGAGGCGCATATTATTGATGGCACATCGTGAAAAACGTTGAGTTTCAGTCCGGCGCGACGTCGCTGGACGTGCTGGACTAAGCTACAGCTGTCTCACAGCTGTAGTGGTCGGCTGATGCGGTGGCTAGGCGTGCGCATCCTGACTAGGCGCGCCACAGACTTGCGCGGTGCGCCTGACTTAGACGAGTGAGCATACATGCGCATGCGCGCTCTGACGCATCGCAGACGCGCCCGGCGTGTGTCATGTGAGGGGGGTATTCACGGTGCGGCCTTGCAGGACGCGACTTGCCTCTTACCACCACCATCCCGCGATGGCTCAAGGACCTTGTACTTCCCCGCCGCTCTTCTCTTCCATCAACTCCCTATTACACGCCCGCGCCCACCCTCCCGGCGCTTGCCCTGACCCACGCCCCAAGTCACAATCATCAACACAATTCATCGGCGGCAGAGCGTGTCTCGCCATCAAGACTTTCGCCAGCTGCGACGCGGTGATGAAAGAACAACATTGCCGTCTCGTGCACAAGGCTTATGAGGTGTAAGTCGCCTATATGCGCTGAAAAAGGGTGTTCTCACCTCATCTCAGCTACCCAGACAACTGGATTAGTGCATTCGTCGAGATGGCGCGATAAAACCTTGCTGCCGTCATTACTGCCGCTAGCCTTGGTCCGTCTGGACGTCTTTCTCGACTTGAATATCCTCCTTGGTGCCCCCTCCCGCTCCCTCGTGACCTAGCCAGATCGGCACACCTCCACAGCGGCACTTGCCGCACCTGCCTTGCACATCGATCACCTACCTCAACTCTACACTATCCCCGTCAACTACATGGAATGCTCGCGGTGCTCGCAAATCAGGTGCATCGAAATAGCTCTCGAGCGACACTCCCGCCTCTCGTTAGTGTCCCCGGAGTCGAGAAGGATTTGTCTGTGCAACCTTCGAAGCACAGAAAGAAGGGCGGGCAAGTGCGTACCTGTACTTGCCTTGTTTGTCGTCATACCGCTGATAATGATTGAACTAGTTGCACCCGTCAGAGCCAGGGTCAATCGTCCTTGAGCTGTCAACACGCGCGAGTTCGGTGCGGGACTATACTCTGGTGCTCCAGACTAATGCAAGTAGGATATTGGCTCTATGTTGTTTGCTAGAACTCGTGTAAGTTCCATACTTTGATGGTCGTAACTCATTCGCTAAGCCTTTCGTAGTCTTGCTGTTCCTCGATACCCGCCACTCGTTCGCTTTTAACGGTAAGTTAAGCGACTTGCGAATCCTGTGGATTACCCTGATCTCGCTCGTAGCAAAGTCTCACTTTCCGCTGCTTACTGAAACTTCGCGTCGGACTGTGTCATCACGTTTTACGCCTCTACACATGTGGCACGTTGCTTATGCAGTATGATTATATATAAACCGTTTGATATGCGAGTACCTCGAAAAGGGGATGGGCGACGATAAGCTGCATGCTACGAATTCAGTCGGGCCCCTCTGTGCTGGCCGCAAAGACGAATGTTGGCCGTGCTACTGTACATCTATGACAATTGGCGAAGTCGTGGCTATTTAGACGCCGCGGCGATGGACTGCTGAATACGCCCTGTCCCGCGCTCAGGCGTCTGACCGCTGCTTCACCGTTTTCGCGATGGCCCATTACCTTGGCGCGCGACTTGTGCACCCGAAAACTCGCCGTACATAGCTATCTTGCCAGTATAGTCCGACAACAGCAGTATATCCTTCATAATCATACGAGTCTATGACTACGAAGTACTGTGGGCATTGCTATAGTGAGAGTCACCAAAACGGGGTGAACAACATCCAGGGTCGTGGTACGTAGAGCGTATATGTCCGATGATCACGGTGTCGGAAGTGGAGAGATGTACAGACGACAAAGAGCGGTGGGCATGCAGACACCCCTTGATGATAGGATGAAGCCTATCCAGTACCGTTTCCCGGCATGTTGCGTTCTATAGGGCTATTTATTGGCTAGGCGCAATGCTCTGATACGTCAGGTTTGTCCCGCCAAAAGTAACTGCACAATGTACATACCCTGACTGAGTATAAAGAACGGACCGCTCATGTCGTGGTTCGCCTCGCAAATCCGCGCACTCGCGGAGGAAAGCGGCTGATGCCAGAAGTGGCAATTCCCACGCCAGCTGGCGCTAATCCTTTAGGCCCGGAGGTGGATTCGTAGACAGAGCGGGCCGCGTTGCCAGACGAGGAGATGTGTCTTATATCTCGAGCGCGTGCAGCGTGCTTGAGAGCGGGATCGCTAGCGGCGATGAATGCGTCACGCTTACAAGGCGCGGTGGCGGTCGAACAAGCGATAGACGCACGTTCATGGAAATACATGAGCAAGTCGCACGCCTCCTTATCCAGATGGCTGACTGACGCGATTTCCAAGTGTGTAGAAGGTTGAGAGGAGAGAGACATCTCCTCTACGACCGAGTTCGCGTCTGCGGCAGCATGCGTCTTCTCGGCGCAAACTCGCGCCGTCTGGCCACCGGCGGTTTGTGCGAGCAAACTCGATCTTGCAGGCGATGCTGGGTGCCCCAGCAACACATACGCTGCACCTCGATGGTGATTGAGTGACGTCCGGTTATCTCTTTCACCGTCTGACAGTGCGTGGGCACGAAGACCCGGCGTGAAGTCGTTGTCGGCGCTGCTCGTACTAAGATCGCTCCAGTCTTTGTTGTGGGTGTGGGCGAGGGTCGCAACTTCGGAATCCTGTCCACTGCCTCGAGAGGTGATCGTACGACTCTGATATGCATTTGCGATGGCTTTGCGTTTCAAGGTGAATGTCGCTCCGGAAGGGCTCACGTTGTCGAGACTGCCCGAGAATTGCCCGTCCCCTCCACGGCTCCCTTGCACAGGAGACGGCCTACTTGTCTTCAAGAGCAGTGGCAACGGTGGAATGATATTGCCCTGGACAGGGTCTGGTCCCGGCGGTTGCGCAAGCATGTAAGCATATAGGCTTCTAGGTGTGTTGTTGTTGTTGTTGTTAGGGGCGCTCCTGTGCGGTCTGCGAAGGCTTTGGACAGGGATGCTAGCGGTTGTGGCGCTCATGTTGACGTGCGGATCGCGTGCGTAGGAACTTCCCAGGGATGCCTCCAGTTCTTCGAACGTCAAGTGAGCCACATTATGTCGAACCTTATATAACGCGTATTGAAGCCTGGCTCGTAGCCTTCTAGACATCTAAAACAACATCATGTCAGATGACATCAATGCGTCGTCCACACAGTGGCGACAAACCTGGCCGATTGCGAGTAAGCTCCATCGCTACGAGACCGTTATGAAAGGCATGTTCTTACCTGCTGGTACGCAAATCTTTCGCGCAACTTAGATCTAAGGCCTTCACCCTCCCGACGTTCCTCTTCAGTGCGTTGACCGTTGCCAGTTGGATGGCGCCGAGCACCAGCAGTCGCTGCAGTGCACAGTCCAGACATGCGGGCCAATAGAGTATCGCCTCAAGCACAATACGGCAGGATGCCGACCAGCAGAAAGGGAGGTCGCAGTGGCGAGAATGTGAGCTCAGATTCCGGTGAGGCGTCGATCGATGCGTCGACGTTGAGTGAGAAGAGAACAGTGCGGTTTGTCCATCGCGACTAGACGGCACTGCCTGCCCGACACCCTACCGACATTAAGCCCTCCGATCTGACATGGCATTCATCAAACAGCGTACGTTGTCTGGCATCATACAACTGCCCTCTTCCCCCCCATGAGAACCTTATCTCACGCCGCTCGGGCCGGACGGCGTTACACCAATTTGACCATCGGATGAGGCCCATTGCTAATGAAGTGTAAACAAGAGGTGTCCACAGCAGAGGAGCTGGTAGCACAGGGTTACAATACGAGCGGTGCTGGGAGACCGAATGGTCATAGTGATACGCCGAACCGCCGCGTCGTCACCAACCCTAACCTAAACCAAGTGCAATCATCTCACGCAACTTCAACGATCAGACGGATCTGAATCATGACCAACGCTGGTCCTCTCTGCACCGACTCTTCCATGCCTCGAAATGTATACTACTTAGCCGTAAAATCGCAGCGTATTGTGCTAAAGCGGGGTCCTGAACCTGAGCTACGTGTGCTACAGAGCCGAGCGCTAAGATATGCCCGTATTACTTCACGACGTAAGTGTCAGCCCGGGATGGCGACAGAACTGATGTGGCATAACGACGCTATACATCTATCTTCACAACAAGTCTACGTTACAAACATCATCTCGGAAACTTCACATGAGCAAGCCCGTGAATAGAGCCGCTGCGCCAACCACAACCCCTCCAGCGATATGGGCTAGGCCGTACTTGCCGCTGCGTTTGCCCCCTGTGACATCCTCCTTCACTAATTTATCGCGCACATCGCCGACAGCAACAGAGTCCACGCCAATAATCAACGACGCTTCATCCCTGGGCGTACGGTTTTCTCCAGCGACCGCGGCCGTATGAAAGCCGATTTTCTTCGCAGACGACTGTAGCTTCTCCACGTCCGTGGCTGGGATAGTGTACACGGACACTGGCACATGGTGAGCGACGCGCTCCAGATCGTCGAGAAAGGCTTCCATGGCGTTTTCGCTCGTGGAGCGTGCGAGGTGACGCGACGAATGTGCACCGGGCTGTTGTGCGAGAGACAACGATTCCGCAAGGCTTATATCCTCAACGCTCTCGTTGGGATCCCAAGAGCCCGAGGTTGGAGTAGACGGCGGACTGGAAGTTTCGCTCGCTTGGCAGTCACTTGAGGGGGGAAAGAGGGTTCCCGGCATGAGACGTCTTCGCTCTCGTCGGATCTTCGCAATTGAACACATGTCTTCGAGGACATTGGACGTAGTAGGCGGAGGTGTCACAGGCGCAGAGCCCGTTTCTGCGCTGATACGGAGAGCACCGAAAGCGTCTGCAAGAGACGTGTCAGGCGAGGGAGCGTCCAGCGTTTGTGGTGGTCCATATGGGCATCCCTCACGCGGGTGGCCCTTGCGAGGCCGGTTGCAGATCTGACATCGCGGAGGTTTCCTCCATTCGGGAGTAGCAGAGGCTACTTTGGTAAAAGCCTTCTTGGGGGTAGCAGGGGCGGTAGCTGCACGCGTCACCGGCGCCATGATAGATGCGGTCGCGAGAATATAGTGATGGAGGGTTGAGGGAAGTGGGGAATCCAAGCGTGGACTGTCGGGCGTGCGCTCACGCAGCGATTGAATCAACTTCGTGATTTCATTTCCACAACTTCGTAAGTCATAATGCCTCCCGCCCGCCATGAAGATAATCCACCAATACAAGCATAGGCCATCGGAGTACTATTGTCGCACGATCCACGGAAAGGAAGTCAATAGAAGGCGAGAAGGCGAGAAGGCGACAACACTGTATGTTCTGTTGATGAGCGCGCAGTTTGTACTTATAGTCGATGCGCTTCCTCTAGCACTGGCTCGAACTGAGTCAGGCATCTAATTCACAGAGAAACTCCATTGTTGAGTGCAGAGCGATCTCGTAGACAGGTATGCTGCCAAGTCCGAGTATTAGCTAGACGCAAGGACTGTGAGCGTGCGGAGCAAAAATGGGCGCCACGGAGGCGAGCCAAGCCCGCGCTCTGCCCACGAGTCGCCGTCGCGTGGTCAGGTGATGGGCAAGGAGAACGGCAATCCTGACTCTCTATATGCTGTACTTGTGTACCTTGATGGTCAACATCGCATGTCAGCGCATATAGAGAACTTGTGGCATCGCGGAAGGGCAGAACCTTCGAGTGGACCGCGCGTTGGTCACCGAGGTTGGCCGGTGTCCAACCACGCCGGCAATGAGCGCCGCAGGTCATCCATACTCACTCGCGAAGTCCTGACTTTTGCAACTTAGAGGGCGTCGCTGCATCAGCAGATTTGGGCCTCGAACCAACGCTTCTGTTTCAGGGCGGATATCGGCGCAAACCTACGGTGTTCATCGTATGCCTATCTCGGAGGAGGAGCCTTCAGATGACCACCCGGCAGGTGAGAGTTCTCCTCGGCCTTTGCCGACGAGTCGCGATGGGCGAGGAGACTTTGTTCCTTGCCATCCACCATCTCCTTCCATCTCGCTTTACCCCTACACCTGTCCTTTTCTATGTCGTCTTTCCCAACATCGTACTCACTCTCAACTTATCTCACCTAGCTTACTTGGGAAAACTTCTACGTGAACGCGTCACCGGGCCCAGAGTAGTAACGGCCGCATCTCACCCTCATTGTTGCTCGGCAATGAACTTGGTATCTATATTGCTTCAGCTCTTCCGGTACTTTTGCTTGGATACATCACTGTTAGTCGCGATGACTCCCTCTTACTACTACGCTTGGCTTCTTGATAGGCGTGAACGTCAATGCGGATCTCGATTCTCGGTGGTAGTTTCGCTACATCTGGCCTTTCATTATGTGGCGGCCGATACCTCTGGATAGTTCGCGAACAGGCCGACTATGGTGCGTCAATTCAACTTCATCTTGAGTCTCGACTGCTCCCATCTCCGTCAGTCATTCAAGGCTGCTGTGCTTTCTTCCGATCTGTCGTTGGATGTTAGCCAGACAGTATGCTCCTCGCTGAAATAGTTCCCGCAGGATGCCGATCATCTTCATGGATGGGAACGAGGGCAAGTTGCCTCCTCGACTATTGTCCGCCCCTTCTTGCACTTCACTGCTTTCGCCTCGCTTTTCGTCTCTGGATTAGCAAACGCATGCACAATTCTCGCGGGTTGGCGGTTGTGCAAGTTCGCACTGGGTAATCTTACTCTGGCGGAGCAGTGCTCCGCATCTGGATAGGGGTGAATCTCACGTGTCATCTACGCGAAAGTCGCCTTTCACTAGTCACTTATAACTCCCTTACGAGGTGAATCCGACATCCACTCTCTCAGCGAAGTTCACGTCGGGCGGACGTGATAGAAAGCAGGACCTCCTCAGACCTTTTCCTGTCATTGACGCCAAATGACTCTGGTCATTGCAAGGAAGGGAGGTGCAACGTCATACCGCTGCCTCGGGGCTGCGCGCGATCTCTCGGCGCGGCATCTCTGCTTGCGCGCGCGTGACCACGACAGCATCTCGATGTATAGAATGATATCAGCTACCCTTTGGACAACCAGATGTACGTCCTACTAGATTCCCTCGTTGGTTCCACACTGATATACTTTGCAGTTCTCCGATGCGATGACAGTAGGCTGCCTTGTCGAGCAGAGGTAGCCAATGGATTGTATTAGGGCCTATCCCGGTGGATGTAGTCTGCGGGACGCTGATGGGGCGGGGAGGAGCGGCTGAATAGGGTTCAACATCTCACCGGCTGGCGTATTCTTCACAACGTTCTCGTTCAATGTATATCGTCAGTTTAATGAATGTACTGCGCTATATTTCCCGTCATGAGAGCAGATAAATACACTAGATCGAGACTCTGGCCGTTACTGCAAGTCTCAGACCCGGAGTAAATTTCCCTCCGTTCCGGGTGTTCAGTAATCCTATACCATCAGTTCGGCTATCATTCGAAGCTGTACATGCACATACAGTCGGATGGCGGCCATTCATCTGCACCGAAAGCCCGCTGCCGAGCCTGCTTTCCAGGTGAGACATGCAGCCTCAGGTCCTCGGTGTTCTGGTATACTGGCGAGGTGAGCTCTGCCCACTTGCGGACGAGCAAGTGCACCTATTCCCTATCTCCGCAACGCTCCGCCGGCGCGGTATGAACGTTTCAACATCCGTCACCTCCGGCTTCATTCTCAGGCTACATGCCTTTCCAAATGATTCAGCTTTGGCGTCAGATAGTCTCGTGTTGTTGTGCACTGTAAATCGTGTCTGCTTCCAATCAGCTCACGATCGTACACGTATCTTGCACACCCCTTCAACGCAGGCCCAGATCCCATCCGTAGTACTTGAGCTCAACGTGTATTGCACGGAGACTGCGTAAACGGGCACGTGTGGGAGTCGTGATAGGACGGGGAACTGCCTGTTTCATGGACCCCATCTTTTGAGCCCAATTTGTACGTGTCCTTCTATCCCTCATCTCAACGCGGTCTGATTGAAGAGTAGATCCAACGAGAAACTTGCCGGTGGCGTCAGGGGCGCTGACGGCGTGCTCTTATAGGAGGAGCTGGTCAATCAAAACTTCCCTTTGGCTTGTTTGCTGCTTCCCCGCTTAAACCGCAGTGTTCTCGCCGCGCGCTTGGACATGTCCGACATACCTGTCCATTCTCCGTACTATTGCTACCCTCCCGTTACGCGTGAGCACCTCTCCGCGGCTCACGAGCCTCAGCTCCAGTCGTGGGCTTGTCATGAGCACAAACCGTACTATTCTGAACAATTTATGGCGTCGGTGAGTTGGATGATATCGATGATTAGTATTTGGACTTCTCTTACCGAGCTCCCGTCGCGTAGGTCGTCTCTCCGCAAGGCATATACATGCAAGACCCGATCACCGTCGACCCATGCCTTGTTCCGTACACGGCCGCGCATGGTAGCGCCGGGTACGCTCACCAGACCACAAACCCTGCGCCCGCATCGCTCGCGTGTACCGCCGACTTCCCTCCACTCCCGCCGCACGCCACAGAAATAAGAGAGAGTGAACAGGGTCCGGTCGCATCCATTGATGCGCCGTATCCGGTAAGCATCTCAAGTCTCTTGTCCCTGTGTGTGCAGCTGACGAAGTAGCAGGTCAGAGCTGGCTATGCGCAACACGTCAGTCATCGCATATACCACGATCATATGCATGAGCATTACCCGCCATCGAATGAGGATCGCCAGTCATACACACAACCGCAACCGGTCAACGACAACTGGCGACATCCGTCCATTGTACCGTCAATTCCGGCGTTCGCTCGCTCGCAATCCAGCAGTCTTGCACATGCTCTTGGAGACCTCATCTTGAAACTTGGCTCAGTGAATCGGAGCACGGGGCCAAGAACCGACGCACCGATAGCAAAAACAGACGTGACACTACTCGATGCTGACGCCCTGCGGGACACGATGATGAAGATCGAGGATGGCGAGCAACAGTTGAGGCATGACATCACCTTCATTCACGAAACTGGATCACCAGCTTCAGAAACGCCGACCGTATCCTCGCGTGCACGGACGAGCGATTCGTCAGCGGAATCCGAACCGCCGCCGCCGCCGCGCCGCAAGCGGACCCGTGGACCGAATAAGGGACCACGGAAGGATCGGGGTTTTCTTGCATGCTTCTTTTGTCGTGGACGCAAGGTTTCGTGCAACCCTGTGGCTGACAGCGGAGGCAAGAAATGCGAGTGAGTACGAATTATCTCGATGCCTGGGGCGAGCTTGATAGCGGCAATGAGGGGCGTATGCTCTACTTGAGACCCTGCGCTTCATATCGGCGCGGCTTTATCGCTGTCTGTACGTCGTCCGAAAGGCGCTATCAGCGAAGATCTCCTGTTATCATTCCACACATTTTTCGACCACCTTTGCTGTCATTTCTTCTCAGACCCGCGGGGTATGGACTAGATATACTGACCATTTGATCACAGACAGTGTACGAAACGCAATTTGCCATGCGAATTCCCAAGGATCTCGAGGCGTGGTCAAAACGGCGGGCGTAAGCGCAAGGACGTGCCACAGGACATAGTTGGAACGCAGACGCCATTGCATCCTTCACTATCCGCCGGTGTTCGCGATCTTGCGGCAAAGCCTGAACCCGACTCGGAATGAACGTTCTTACTGGTTAGCTCGAACTCCCAGCACTTCGATTCTTTAACTTGCTCTTTCCTGGAATAGTCTCATAATTCACGTAATGTACGCTTCCAAACTGCACTCTCTGGTCCGAGTACTCCATACGATGTTTGAACATGACCAAGTGCTTACGCGCTGTGGAAACCTGTCGTAACCCGTGAACAGAACATTGTGGCTCGTTCCACTTTTTGGATACCTTTCTAGATGCGTCGTTGCATTAGAACGAGCATGGCAGCCTGTACACGCTTTACCTGCGGCCGTGATCCGCCACTGATTGAGAAACACAGTCCATGTAGACGCTCAGCCCTCATTGCAAAGTACACCTATGCAAACGGTCGGCTCAAATTTGCTTATTGAACGGCAGGTGTCAAACGACGCATTGATATAGCATGACATAAACGACGAGAAGCCAACTATGCGGCTCTCTACCGCATGTTCCAGTACCCGCCATACGTGGTATAATAGAATGAACACGTGCGTGCATTTAGTCATACGATCGTGACGCCAAAGATCATACCTTGGCCAAAGGTTGTACTCCCCGCCGGATTAAACACAACAACAAAGTACCCCTGCTAAGCAAACACATTCGGGTTCAACCTCGTGCTCCACCTCTCGTCCCACACACCCTCCGGCCCACCATGTATAAGCATAACAACAGGCCACGTCTTCCCCTCCTTCGCACTCGCCTCGCTCCACCCGCGCGGCTTCAACGCATATCCGTGTATGCGCTTGCCCTCGTGGCCGGTGAAGTAGAAGTGTTCGGGCTTGGAGAGGTTCTTGGATGCGAGAGCGTCGGCGGTGAAGGATGCTAGTTGGGTTGTTTTGACAATGGCGGCGAGGTTGGAGGAGAGGAGGTGGGCGCCTTCTTCGTTGACCAAGGTCCTTGGGTCTTCTTTCTTGTCTACAAGTGCATCGTGAAGGCCTTCCAGGCCCTCAAGCACGAAGATGTCATCCGGGCCCGTCAGACTGCTGTGGCTGAACAGGATACGTCCACTAGGTAACGCGTACGCAGCATGTGCCGCACCACCAGACGTGAGCGCGCGGGGATAAGTGTATTTCGGCGGGAAAGGCGGCGAAGTGCTGTTTTGTTCGGGCGTAGGAGGAAGCGGTAAGGCGAAGATCTTGGCCTGAGCGTGGTCGCCGGCCGTGAGGTACAAGATCGGTGCGTCGGGCGCGAACTGAGGGCTGAGAATCAGCTAATGCAAATGTGGGGCGGGAGGAAGAGAAGACATACGGAGAGCCCATTAGGCGAGCGGTCCCAGGGCTGCGTGAGCGTGTATCGCACGTCCTTCTCGAGATCGTAGATGACCACGCGTGAGCTACACACAGCTATCAGCTCTTTCCCATCTCCCGACGAAATCGAGGAGCAGAAGCTTACCGGTCACTCTCGTGCCCGTCCTTCTCGAGTTCGAGCCAGGCGACTTTGTTACCAGATGCGTCGAAAACGGGGTTGTGCATCGCGCCTTGCTTGCCCGACGTGAGCTCGCGCGGCTCGCCACCCTCGAGCGGAACGATGTAAACCTAACGAACAAGCACGTCAGTTCCCTCTTCCTATGGCGCCATAGCGAACGTGAAGGAGAACGTACGTTTCGACGCGTATGCCAAGCCTCAGGCAACACCGGGTCCTTCGCCGTATACACAATATGCGTCTTCGACACCGCGAAGTTCTCCGATCCACCAAAGGGCTCCACCGGCGTGCTGTGCCCAGTCCCCTTCAACAAGTTCTTGAACTCCTCGCCGAAAGACCACTTCTCTCCCTTCTTCTCCAGTGAGACCGCGAAGAGACTGTTCTTCTTGGGCCGACATAATGATCCCAATGTCTCTCGAATCCCTCGTCGTACACGAACGCGCTGTTCCTGCGTTCGTCCCACGCCTTGTCGCCCTCCGCAATAGCCGTAAGATTGCCGTCAGAGTAGACTTTGTCGCTGAACACGAGTGTGCGGGACGAGGGGTTGTAGATGAAGTTGCCCGAAGTCGAAGAAGGGAATGTGCCGATCAGAGTGGGCGGGTCGGGTGTAGCGTCGAATGAGAGGGAAGACTCGGTTTCGACTTTGAGGGAGAGGGCGCAGAGAGAGGATTCGTGGTCGGCTGGGGAGTATACGTGACCGAGCGTTTGACCGTCGAGCCAGAATAGCTCGCCGCCTTTTTCGAGCGGGTATTTGGCTTGCGCTTTCGACGCGAGACTCGTCACCACAAGCGTCTTCTCGTTCCTGTTCCTCCATTGTCAGTTCTCCGACTCGGGGAAAACATGATATAAGACGCACTTCTTCGTCTCGAAAGAGTACTGGCTGACAGTATTGAACACCAGCGTACCCTCCGCATTCGGCGTCCCCACGCTCGGCCGCGCAAGCTCAAGCGGATCCTTAGGCGCAAACACGTCCGCACCAGAGCGCAACACGAACTCGCGCGCGCGCGTCGGCACAGTGCTCATGTCCTTCTCGCGCACTTCCCACCGCGTGACCATCAGGGCCTACGGCCCTGCTCCTGCGCCCGGGCGTACAGTCACCGGTTAGTGAGCGAGGTAGTCCTGGCCAATGCGGCCGGAGAGGGCGCCATAGGGCAACTCAGATTCCCGGGGAGCGTTGTACCGCCGGTGCTCAGGGGGGGACGCATCTTCTACATTACCCATAGGCTGCTCGGGATAGAACATGATGCATGAGGTGCTTTTGGACGAGAACGTCGGCCATCTCTTGTAGAGAGGATAAATCAGCCAATTCCCTGGATCGCGGACGAAAAAGACGTACGTAAGCGAGTACAGCTTTGCTGCATACTGGTGACTGAGTACACCGTCATGCAAAGTCGCATTCGCGCTGGCCAGCTCCAGGATTGTCTCATACTTACGCTTAACTTGGCGCAATGACGACAAGTCAGTTACCGCAAACATCTCGGTGTACCAGTGCATCGCCTCGACCTCTGGCTTTGAGAAAAATATGTGATGCAGAGGTGACATTCCGCCTTGAACTGCGCTCTATCAGCACGGGCTTCGCGGTTTGGAGGAGGGTTTGGAAAACCTTCTTTCCCTTGTAAGAAAGATACATCTCGGAGTTCACAGCGTCGGATCGGACTCATCGAAGTTTGCGAGATCCTGCCGATCATTTGGGTACAGAATCGTGGCTTTGGAAACGAAATTCGTCCACAGCTGCGCGGCCTTTGGGATGAGGGAATATGTTACTATATACCGGCGCGATCAGCATTATTCGAACGGAGCGCATGGCATCACGTACCGTTTGAGTCTCGTTTTCGACCTCGTCACCTGCGAAGAGATGTGCAGACGAGGGACATATCCGCAAGCTGCTGAAACTGCGTTGGACGCGGGGGCGAGGCCGCTCGGATACATTCATGACGCCGGCTTGGAATGGCAGCCCGCACGCGCTTCTCCTGTGCGATTCACCGCCGAAATCGTCGTGTACGTCCCCGGATCAAGCGACGTGGGCCTGCTATTCCAAGGTATAGTTCGGAGCGGATTCTGGGGAAGATGGAAGAACGCGAAGCGGATGTTGTCGGCGTGGGACTGGATGTTATCGACGAGGCCGGATTTGGGAAAGCAGAGGGCGCCTGTCCTGTAATGGGGCGAGAGGGGTATATACTGGAAGGCGGAGGAAAATAGGGTTCGCGAACCCGGAGAGTGTGCATCTCTGAGTTGTCGAGGACGCAGACCCAGCCGAGTGAGCCGGGTTCAGAGCCTCTTATGGGCAGAGGCAGCAATTGTACCGCTTGTCGGCACTTATCTATGAGACTACGGAGTGTCAATGGCACGAAATTAGTCTTCATCATGCGCACACACCATCTCCAAATTGGATCAAGGCCATGGCGAAGATGGGTGTGCCAGTAGAGGATGCGCGGCGCGAGAGCTGACCCAGTCGACTTGATCACACAATGGCGGATCACACTGGGGTTCATGCGTTCAACGTTCAACGTTCATGATGGAAGGCAGCATGATTGAATGGGGACGTATGACCACATGTGGGCAGATGGTCGCAGATTATGCCGTACCGGATGGTCGCGACGCGGACTTCACAGCTTATAAATGCGTGGGCTTGATGGTGACGTACGCCGTGGTGCACGTGCCTCTCAGTGAACGGCGGTCTTGCGGTGCACTGATACGGTCATCAAGCTATCGCGGCCTACGCCCCCAACGTCCCCTTGCAAGCGATACACGCCTATTCACCCTTCTATACTCATGGTGTCTTCTTGGCGCGAAATACCCACATTAAGACTCGGAGACCATCTGCTACACCGAACGCAATAGCGGATATCACAAGATGAATCAACGAGCGAGGAGCCCGCGAGACGATGGGGGTAGCGTATTGTTAGGTATGTGGTGTCGCGCACGTCTAGGGTTGCGCTACAAGCTCATTCGACGAGGTCTGGACGCTCCCACGTATAGCCGAACGGCTGCGAACGTTTTCACCCACCACCAACCTAATTCCATCTCAATCAGCTGCTGTCAATACATGCTGGATGCAAGTACTTGGCGCTTACTTTCTTCACAACGTGCGTAATACTCGTCTTGAGCCATTCACGTCTTAGGGACACATGGCGGCCGAGCGCTCCGTCGGTTATATATGCAAGAGCTCTGACTCTTTCAAGTCGCATGTTTTCGAGCAGCAGGGGGCATGCTCCTTAGCTCTGCTACTGATCACACGCGGTTCTGCAACCATACCGATATCAATGGCAAACTCAGCTTGGCATGGCGATGGCGCGATTGGGTGGCCTTTCACACGGTAAACTACCTACAGTACAACTCTTGCATATTCGTTCGGGCAGTATGGACTCCGGAATCCGCCTACATAGCTGCGAACAATGGAATAAATAGTCTCGTGGGCGTGCTTCCCTCTCTCTCCCGCGTTATCTTTCAGGAATCCGACTTCGTCTTCAATGTTGCTCGCTGCTTGAAGGCTCTCTGCCCGCAAGGTTGCCGATACGCTCCAGACATACAAAGCACTCATGACCCACTTGTAGTCGCGAGGACGCTCCTGGGAGCCCAGTCCATCTTTCGTCGTTCTGTCTACACGCTCGCGCGTGACTGACGTTCGTCCTGTATATCCCGGCGGCCTCGAATCGTCAAGACGAGGTCGAAGAGCCGCCAGTCGATCGCTTCACCCTCAGTAAATCTGGAAGCTCTCGATTTGCGCCAGCGATATCAGCGGCCCACGCAAGTACTTGAACGGTTGAGAAGCTCCAGGGATATGTGGATGCCGGCTGCGGCCGCCTCGGGAAGGTTCGCGCCACGCGTCGTGCTCCGATGCGGGGCCATCAAGCCATTCGATGCTGCTATGTAACTATCTCGCTCTCCTGGTTCTTGCCGTATATGTGCAACTATTGATATGTGTACATTACGCTCCTCAATAAATCCATCTTTCGTTGCTTTTCCTGAGTATTGGCTGTTAATGCCGACCGTTCGACCCCTACGCGCGTCAATATCATGCCGATAGGACGAAGGCCGCAAGTTTAGGTAGAAGGGGGGATTTATGGAGGAGGAATCGCTGAAGGCTATTGACATCTGAAGATGGGTGCACGCAGCAGTCCTCTCAGGACATGAAATGATGATGTCCTGTATTTTGCAGTCTATAGTATACATACAAAGGCAGCAAACATCGGGTACAGCTGTATTAGGTTACCGAACGGAAAGCGGGATGAAAATGCTAGCAATGGTAGCGCAAAGTGCCGAGGAGGCGGCCCGCACCGCTCAGCATCGCGCGCTCAACGCGAGCACGCGTCGTGAAGCGACGTATCGTGCCCGAGATTACAGTGAAGATTGAGCCCTGCGAGACGGGAGTCGTGCTTGTCGCCGAGACGTGTCGCACCGGGTGGTTGCCACGTTACGGGGAGGAGCGCAAAGCGCCGCTTGAGCGTAACGCGTACAAATTTCGCATGTCATACTTACAGTGCATGGCGTCAGCGCGTAAATGTGCATTGGCAGCTGCAAGGCGACTCGCGTCCTCAGGCGGATGTCCTGATCATCAAGTGAGATCAAAGGTAATGAAGGAGATTGATACACAGGGAGCATACCTCCTACAAGGGCTGCACGGATGGAGCTGAGCGTCTTGCTTTATGAGAGTAGCCTGCGCGGGTCATCATGTTAGCGTGAGTGGGCCTAAGATGACTGGGACAACGCACCCTTTGCGTTGATGACGCTTAACTTCAGATTGGTGGTGGCCCTGCTAGTACCCAGCACAGAAGGATGGTTGAAGTGTGGATATTTATTAGTGACGATAAGCGGCACACGTAGAGAACCAGAGGCAGGTGCCGCTGGCAGTTGGTGAATTGGGTCAGGAATGTCGGGCGCAGAAAATAGCACAAGCAAAGGCAATCGTAGAGGATATAATGATTGATTTCCAGGGAATGAGCTAAAGAAGCATGCTCGTTGTCGTGGAGGTCTCGAGCAAGGCGAACGGCCACCGCGCGCTCAACGAGCTCGTCGTCGGTGGCGGCGCGGATCAACGGGCCGCGTTCCGTCCCCTGAGCGCTCGCGCTCGCCTCTATTCTCGGCGTCTTGTCCTTACCGTCATCACCTCAGTCTGCGTGTACTCACCTTCGCGTACACTCGAAATGCGTCTCGACTCGACCTGTCACATTTCGAGCACCGTACGATGTTTGTCAACAGGTGAGGAAAGGCTACGTGATTGAGGATGGGCGTCGCGTCTAACGATATATTGTATTGTTCAGCGCGGACTACTCGGAAGAGATGACTTCAATCTACCGAAGCATTCATTCATCTATATGATACGCTATGCTTGGGGCTGGTACGGGAAGCGCTTCGCCCAATGGTCTGCAATCTCCTCACGGGTGGCGAACCATACACCCTCCTTCGACTTGGCGTATTCGAGGAACTTGCGCAATCCCGCAATACGCGCCGGCCGTCCAACAATACGACAGTGTAATCCCTATACGGTGCATCAGTCGAGTTGCGTTGCATGTGTCGCGAGCACACGTGCGATGGAAAACATCTTGGGGTGACCCTCTTCGCCTTCGCGATAGAGCTCATCTACGGCACGTCAGATGAAGGCGTCTACCCTCAAGCGGCAAATCATACTAAATGCATCGATCAAATACTCAGCAAACTGGTTGGCGGTTATGAAAGCCTGGTAGCCCGCGTTCTTGTAGTCATTGGTGTCGAGAGTATCTGGCGTACCGTGCTTCGGTGAGCGAGAACTTGGCTTCACACCGCACGGCGTACTCACAAGGAATGATCAGTAGACCCTCGTCCTTGCCTCCACCGGGCATTGGTACCCAGTGAGGAAGGTCGTCGCTATAGTCGTCGCTGTAGTACTTGAGCGGAAGGCCCTCTTCGCGGAAGACTTGCGCAACGAGTGCTCGGCTGCGCGCGCCGGCCTTGGTCGCGACCATCCCGTAGTACCACCCGCGCGGCGGCTTTCCGCTCGTCTTCTTGATAGCTGCGGCGCAATCAGGGCCTGTCTGAACGAATATCGAGAATGCCGACGTACCTTGGATGGCCTTGCG